CTAATTTCTAAAGTGGAAGTTGGGAGAGTTTTATTCGGGTGGTTCAGTGAAACAATTATAGTTTCTGAGGTGGAAGTTGGGAGAGTTATATTTGGGAGTTTTGGTGAGGGAGACCCTACTCTCTCCTTTCCCAGATGTTTAGTTCATTTCATTCCGATCTCCTCTGCATTATTGTAGCCTTTTGCTACAGCCTGTCAACTATGCCCCTGCCTATCCCTGTTCTCTCCTCTCCGCACAGGCTACACAAACGCCTCACACACCGCGTGGCTTGCTGCCTCTCTAACCTGGTGGTCCCTGCACGCACCACACACCTGGAGTTCCAGGTCTCAGGCAGCCTCTGGAACTGCCGTTCTGCTGCCAACAAGGCTGACTTCATCCCAGCCTATGCTACCCTCCAGTCCCTCGACTTCCTGGCGCTGACGGAAACATGGATTACCACTGAAAACACTGCTACTCCTACTGCTCTCTCCTCGTCTGACCATGTGTTCTCGCATACCCCGAGAGCATCTGGTCAGAGGGGTGGTGGCACAGGAATCCTCATCTCTCCCAAGTGGACATTCTCAATTTTTCCCCTAACCCATCTGTCTATCTCCTCATTTGAATTCCATGCTGTCACAGTCACTAGCCCATTTAAGCTTAATATCCTTGTCATCTATCGCCCTCCAGGTTCCCTTGGAGAGTTCATCAATGAGCTTGACGCCTTGATAAGTTCATTTCCTGAGGATGGCTCACCCCTCACAGTTTTGGGGGATTTCAACCTCCCTACGTCTACCTTTGACTCATTTCTCTCTGCCCTCCTTCTTTCCACTCCTCTCCTCTTTTGACCTCACCCTCTCACCGTCCCCCCCTACTCACAAGGCAGGCAATACGCTTGACCTCATCTTTACTAGATGCTGCTCTTCTACTAATCTCACTGCAACTCCCCTCCATGTCTCCGACCACTACTTTGTATCCTTTTCTCTCTCGCTCTCCTCCAACACTACTCACTCTGCCCCTACACAGATGGTAATGCGCCGCCGCAACCTTCGCTCTCTCTCTCCCACTACTCTCTCCTCTTCCATCCTATCATCTCTTCCCTCTGCTCAATCCTTCTCCCTCCAATCTCCTGATTCTGCCTCCTCAACCCTCCTCTCCTCCCTTTCTGCATCCTTTGACTCTCTGTGTCCCCTATCCTCCCGGCCGGCTCGGTCCTCCCCTCCAGCTCCGTGGCTTGATGACTCATTGCGAGCTCACAGAACAGAGCTCCGGGCAGCGGAGCGGAAATGGAAGAAAACTAAACTCCCTGCCGACCTGGCATCTTTTCACTCCCTCCTCTCTACATTTTCTTCATCTGTTTTCTGCTGCTAAGGCCACTTTCTAACCACTCTAAATTCCAAGCATCTGCCTCTAACCCTAGGAAGCTCTTTGCCACATTCTCCTCCCTGCTGAATCCCCCCCCCCCCCCCCCCCCCCCCCCCCCTCCTCTCTCTCTGTGGATGACTTCGTCAACCACTTTGAAAAGAAGGTTGACGACATCCGATCCTCATTTGTTAAGTCTAATGACACTGCTGGTCCTGCTCACACTGCCCTACCCTATGCTTTGACTTCTTTCTCCCCTCTCTCTCCAGATAAAATCTTGCGACTTGTGACTGCAGGCCGCCCAACAACCTGCCCGCTTGACCCCATCCCCTCCTCTCTTCTCCAGACCATCTCCGGTGACCTTCTCCCCTACCTCACCTCGCTGATCAACTCATCCTTGACCGCTGGCTATGTCCCTTCCGGTGGAACAAGCTCCCTCACGACGCCAGGACAGCGGAGTCACTCACCACCTTCCGGAGACATTTGAAACCCCACCTCTTTAAGGAATACCTGGGATAGGATAAAGTAATCCTTCTACCCCCCCGTCCCCCCCTTAAAAAATAAATAAAAAAATAAATAAAAAAATTGTAAAGTGGTTAACCCACTGGCTATAGGGTGAATGCACCAATTTGTAAGTCGCTCTGGATAAGAGCGTCTGCTAAATGACGTAAATGTAAATGTAAAAATTTATAATGTACTCTGTTTCCGTTGTGTTGAGTTTTTGTCTCTGCTCTATCTCTGTCTCTGTCTCATTTTAACCCCAACTTCACCTCTTTAGTTTTAGGGGATGAGCAGAGAGCCAAAGACAGCTGTCTCTTTTCTAAATGATGGTCTGCAGTGGGATGTGATGCACTGCCTGATTTTACATCACCTAAACATCGACCAGGTGCTTTGCAAAACACTCTTTCTTTCTCTCCCCATGCTCTTTCTCTCTCTCTCTCTCTCTCTCTCTCTCTCTCTCTCTCTCTCTCTCTCTCTCTCTCTCTCTCTCACTCCCCCCATGCACCCATCAACACTCTTCTGTTCTGTTTGCATCCATCCACACCACCAAACATGCCCCTTTCACACTATCAGGCAGACTTGTACCATACCATGCTGGCTCTGACCATTTCCTTCCACAAATGTCCTTTCCGGCATGGTGCCAACAACTGTGGTGGATGCGTAACCAAACTAGACTCCTGAATAGGTCCGTTTTTTGGAGCCGCACCTGCCCTGCGCCGGCCAAACAGAAACCAAGCCATGAATTAAAAATTACAGGCCTATCTTCCTATTTGCATAATGGCACATTGAAAAAGAGCCTTCTTCTTACCTAATGAAAACCTATAGCCGATATAACATAACAAAACAATACCTTTACATTAAATATTGTTTAGATATTCAAATAGTTTAATTGAAACTTAAATAAAACATTGCCAGAATGTAATAGGCTATAGGCTGCAAACTTTTACAAGCCACACAGGTTTGAATTTTATATGGCCTGCGTATGGCCTAAATCAGGGGTTGGCAACAGCAGTGTCCCCCCCCCCCCCCCAAAAAAAAAGTTTTTAAATAAAAAAAAATATAAAAAGTTAGGGGTGTTTAGAAAAATATATAATATTTTCCCACGAATATAAAAAGAGACGTGATCATGTCTCAATGTAACCAAGGTATGAAATTATTGTTATTTTCAAATACAATCTCTTTTTGAGCTTAGTTGTGGTCAATTTGTAATGTACAAATTATTATAATTATGTTCCCCCCCCCCCCCCGACCATCCACTCCTACAAAAACATTCCTGCAGCTGAATCTAGTTGCCTACTCCTGGTCTAAATGAACGAAAGCCTGAATTCATGTTATAATTAACTGATAATTAACTGAATTATCGTAAACAAACTTTGAGTGTAAAAAACATTTTCTTGACATAGACTGATCAGGTGAATCCAGGTGAAAGCTATGATCCCTTATTGATGTCACTTGTTAAATCCACTTCAAATCAGTGTAGATGAAGGGGAGGAGACAGGTTAAAGAAGGATTTTGAAGCCTTGAGACAATTGAGACATGAACTGTGTATGTGTGCCATTCAGAGGGTGAATGGGCAAGACAAAATATTTAAGTGCCTCCCGAGTGGTGCAGTGGTCTAAGGCACTGCATCGCAGTGCTAGCTGTGCCACTAGAGATCCTGGTTCGAATCCAGGCTCTGTCGTAGCCGGCCGCGACTGGGAGACCCATGTGATGGCGCACAATTGGCCCAGGGTAGGGGAGGGAATGGCCGGCAGTTGGTAGAGCATGGCGTTTGCAACGCCAGGGTTGTGGGTTTGATTCCCACGGGGGGCCAGTATGAAAAAAATATATATAAAAAAAGTAATGAATGCACTCAGTAACTGTAAGTCGCTCTGGATAAGAGCGTCTGCTAAATGACTAAAATGTAATGTAAATGTAATAGGGTATGATAGCAGGTGCCAGGCACACCGGTTTGTGTCAAGAGCTGCAACACTGATGGGTTTTTCATGCTCAACAGTTTCCCGCGTGTATCAAGAACGGTCCACCACCCAAAGGACATCCAGCCATTTTGACACAACTGTGGGAAGCATTGGAGTCAACATGGGCCAGCATCCCTGTGGAACGCTTTTGACACCTTGTAGAGTCCCATGCCCCGACGAACTGAGGCTGTTCTGAGGGCAATGTTAGGAAGGTTTTCCGAATTTTTGGTATACTCAGCGTATACTCGCTCTTCCCGGGTTGGTGTCCTCCTTGTCCAAATAATCCTTCCAAACCTGGGATTTCACTGGTGCAGCACCTGTTTCCACAATGGTGTATCTTCATATTTGTCCTGTTACGTCAGCCAGGGAAAATAAACCTGTGTATCCATCTACTGGGAGATCGGATAAACGAGGAATGTTTCAGCACCACACAAATAATGGACAGTAAGCTGATCTACCCCCCCCCCCCCCAATTTTTTAAAATAATAATAATATATAATGGACAGTTCCCTGCTCCATTCTCTCACTGTGTGCATGGCTGGTAACCCAGGCCTAGGCTACGTCTGCCTCACTGCTCACATAATATAATCATTCACAATACAATTCAACAGGGTCCTCTGTAGCTCAGTTGAGTAGAGCATGGCGCTTGCAACGCCAGGGTTGTGGGTTCGTTTCCCACGGGTGGCCAGTATGTATGAAAAATGTATGCACTCACTAACTGTAAGTTGCTCTGGATAAGAGCGTCTGCTAAAATGACTGTAACACAGTCAGATGTAACACAACCTCCTGGGTTTGTAAAAAAAAAGATTTTTAAAATTGATTTTTAAATGTTTCCGACCCTCAATATAATTGTTCTGATCCTTGAGCAAACCCGCGGGTTGAAAGAATGGTTTCACTCCACCCGCCTGTGGGTCAACAGCGGGAAACTGTGGGTGTCTGACCCGATTCAGGACTCAACCTCTACTCCACAAGGTAGAACCTCTTTAGTCTCCTCTTTAGTCTCCTCTACTCCACAAGGTAGAACCTCTTTAGTCTCCTCTACTCCACAAGGTACAACCTCTTTAGTCCCTCTACTCCACAAGGTAGAACCTCTTTAGGTCTCCTCTACTCCACAAGGTAAACCTCTTTAGTCTCCTCTACTCCACAAGGTAGAACCTCTGTTAGTCCTCCTCTACTCCCAAGGAGAACCTCTTTGAAGTCTCTCTACTCCACAAGGTAGAACCTCTTTAGGTCTCCTCTACTCCACAAGGTGAACCTCTTTAGTCTCCAATCTACTCCACAAGGTACACCCTCTTTACAAGGTAGAACCTCTTTAGTCTCCTCTACTCCACAAGGTAGAACCTCTTTAGTCTCCTCTACTCCACAAGGTAGAACCTCTTTAGTCTCCTCTATACCATAAGGTAGAACCTCTTTAGTCTCCTCTATACCATAAGGTAGAACCTCTTTAGTCTCCTCTACTCCACAAGGTAGAACCTCTTTAGTCTCCTCTACTCCACAAGGTAGAACCTCTTTAGTCTCCTCTACTCCACAAGGTAGAACCTCTTTAGTCTCCTCTACTCCACAAGGTAGAACCTCTTTAGTCTCCTCTATACCATAAGGTAGAACCTCTTTAGTCTCCTCTACTCCACAAGGTAGAACCTCTTTAGTCTCCTCTACACCATAAGGTAGAACCTCTTTAGTCTCCTCTACACCACAAGGTAGAACCTCTTTAGTGTCCTCTATACCATAAGGTAGAACCTCTTTAGTCTCCTCTACACCACAAGGTAGAACCTCTTTAGTCTCCTCTACACCACAAGGTAGAACCTCTTTAATCTCCTCTACTCCACAAGGTAGAACCTCTTTAGTCTCCTCTACTCCACAAGGTAGAACCTCTTTAGTCTCCTCTACACCACAAGGTAGAACCTCTTTAGTCTCCTCTACTCCACAAGGTAGAACCTCTTTAGTCTCCTCTACTCCACAAGGTGGAACCTCATTAGTCTCCTCTTTAGTCTCCTCTACTCCACAAGGTAGAACCTCTTTAGTCTCCTCTACTCCACAAAGTTAGAACCTCTTTATTGTCTTGACCATATCCTACAGGATGGTTAATACTTGGTCAAGGATCAGTTGAGAAACCGCCAGGAAGGTACCACTTATATTACCTCTCATCACACTTCAGTTATCCATCACGAGATCCATTAGATACTTCATTATGAATAATGAAAATGCAAACGATTTCTCAGAGAGTCAGTTAACTCCTTCAGATAGAGCTGGGGGGTGAGTCCCAAATGGCACCCTATTCCCTACACAGTGCACTACGTTCGACCAGAACCATATGTTCAAAAGTAGGGCACTAAATAGGGAATAGGGTATGATTTAGGACACTACCAAGGTCACTCCGCCTTTTGTAATTACAGGTTGATGAAAAGCTTTCTCATATTTAATGCAAAATGAATGGTGTTCTTCTTACGTAGTAGCTCTTGAGGACTGAAGTTGAGAGAGGAAAATCATGTAAAAGGTCATTGAACATTTGACAATACTGCCTTAGCACGTTACAACATAACAGAGTACCTCATTATTTAAAAGACACTTGGTTGTCAGAGAGCGGTTGTATTTCAGACACATTAATAACAAACCCGCACGCACACACACACACACACACACACACACACACACACACACACACACACACACACACACACACACACACACACACACACACACACACACACACACACCCCACACACACAGACACACACACACACACACACTCCCACACACACACACACACACACACACTATTAACTGTGGTAGTGACAGTTAATCTACTGTTCTTTCGGTCTGTGAATTCTCAGTGTTTTACTGACACAAGCTGTTTACCATATTCATCTTTATAAGTATTATTCAGGCTTTCCTTAACACAAATTGAGTCAGAGTTTCTCAATGAGTCTCATTATTTGTTATTTATTTTATTTATGTTTACCTTTATTTAACTAGGCAAGTCAGGAAAGAACAAATTCTTATTTACAATGACGGCCTACACCTGCCAAACCCGGACGACGCTGGGCCAATTGAGTCTTATGAGACAAGTCATATACATTATTCGTTTTTAATGAAGAAACGTAATGAGTGGGCGTCTTTAGCTATGGTGGAACAGACAGATGTGAATTCGTAGTTCAAACGTTTTGATTTCTAGTCTAACAGCGATCATTTGCTGTACCCTGCACTAATATATAAATAGAGCACGTTACTCAAACCCACTATGCTACTATAGCAGTGTCACGCCCTGGCTCTAGGGACTCTTTTAAGTTGAGCCAGGGTGTGTAGAGTTTATGTTTTGTGCTCGTTGTGTCTAGTCTAGTTTTTGTATATCTATGTTGGCCAGAGTGGTTCTCAATCAGAGGCAACGAGTATCAGCTGTTGCTGGTTGTCTCTGATTGGGAACCATATTTAGTCAGGTGGTTTTCCCACAGTGTTTGTGGGATCTTGTTCCGTGTTGGTTTGTGTTTTGCACCTGTGGACGTCACGTATCGATTTGTTGTTTTGTTCGTGTATCATTTAATAAATAAGTATGTTCACCTTCCACGCTGCGCCTTGGTCCTCTATATCAGACGATCGTGACAAGCAGGAATTATTTTCTGCTATGTCTCTTGCCCTTGACCTTGATGAACCCGCTGGGAGACCCACTACACTTGAAAACAAAAGTGCGGTTCTAAAGCTGTATGTCAATTAACACGCATCGAACTCTCTAATTTCCTGCAAATAAAATCATCTCAAGTCATCTCTTTCATCGTTCCTCCAATGTTCTTCACTCTATGGCATCTTCAATTATCTGGTCTCAATAATGGGGGTTGAAGTCTTCATCTCAGGCAAAATGTGTTAGAAAATCAGTTCAGGTAAAAATCTGAAAATATGGGAGGGGGACAGGGTGATGGGGTGAGTGGGGGGGCTAGCTCCTCTTTAGAAGCTTTGTCATTTTAATACGTGTGTGTGTGATGGATTTCTCCAGCTAACAGCCTGTGATGACACTCCTTCAGCCAGCCTGTGATGACACTCCTTCAGCCAGCCTGTGATGACACTCCTTCAGCCAGCCTGTGATGACACTCCTTCAGCCAGCCTCTGATGACACTCCTTCAGCCAGCCTGTGATGACTCTCCTTCAGCCAGCCTGTGATGACACTCCTTCAGCCGGCCTGTGATGACACTCCTTCAGCCAGCCTGTGATGACACTCCTTCAGCCGGCCTGTGATGACACTCCTTCAGCCAGCCTGTGATGACTCTCCTTCAGCCAGCCTGTGATGACACTCCTTCAGCCAGCCTGTGATGAAGTTGCGTCAGGTGGTGTTGATTGGGTCTGTAGGCATTCTGTTTGATCCACTGGCTGCGTGACACACACACACACACACACACACAGCATGTGACCAACGGGCACGCGTCACTAACAAACCGGCAAACACACACACACACACACACCCACACACCTCGGCACACACACACCAACGGCCATCCACACCACCCCTACACCCACCAACACGCACACACGCACACGCCCTGTTGTAACAGGATGCAGGCCACAGTCTGTGATTGTGACAGGGTTCCAGGGATGTCTGTGATGAAAAGTAGCTTCAGAGATGATCTGCATTGCAAGCACATAACGTTTACAAAAGTGTCACCCTACCCGTCCCTCCCTCCCTCCCTCCTCCCTCCATCTCTCCCTTCCCTCCCTCCCCTCCCCCTCCCCTCCCCCCCTCCCCTCCCCTCCCTCCCCCTCCCTCCCTCCCTTCCCTCCCCTCCCCTGACCCGTCCCTCCCTGCCCCCCTCCCCCCCCCCTCCCTCCTCCCTCCCTCCCTCCCTCCTCCATCTCTCTTCCTTCCCTCCCTCCCTCCCTCCCTCCCTCCCTCCCTCCCTCCCACCTCCCTCCCTCCCTCCATCTCTCCCTCCCTCCCTCCTCTCATCTCTCCTCTCCCTCCCTCCCCTCCCTCCCTCCCTCCCTCCCTCCTCCCCTCCCTCCCTCCCTCCCTCCCTCCCCCTCTCCCTCTCTCCCTCCCTCCATCTCTCCTTCCCTCCCTCCCTCCCTCCCTCCCTCCCTCCCTCCCTCCCTCCCTCCCTCCCTCCCCTCCCTCCCTCCCTCCATCTCTCCCTCCCTCCCTCCATCTCTCCCTCCCTCCCTCCATCTCTCCTTCCCTCCCTCCCTCCCTCCCTCTGTCCGTTGCCACATATTGAAAATAGAAAATGTTGTAAAGCAGCCAGGTGGTACTAAACAGAGATCTTTGACTGAATCCTTGTATCGCTCTGAACAGAGATCTTTGACTGAATCCTTGTATCGCTCTGAACAGAGATCTTTGACTGAATCCTTGTATAGCTACGAAAAGGTCAGGCGTTTGCCTTTTGTACGATTGAAGCAAACCGTGACCCGTGAGCAGTTATTGATTTTCCAATTATGTAGAATATGAAAAGAACAGAGAAGAAGCATGGAGACAACAAGAAGGAGGTCTGAACTCTGTGATGTTGGCTAGAGGTCGGGGGTCACATCCTTGCTTTATGCAGCCCACTCACTGGACGACAAAGCTCACATCAAGAGCTTTCGTGTTACGCTAGATTTAACAAAGCGTGTGGTGGATAATCAGGATCAGTACTTATCAAAGGCTCATTTACAATTCTAACCTCGAGGAAAGGGTAATGGCACAACAATCAACATCAAGGTGGCATTCTCTCGACCTGCAGGTCTGCTCCTACCAATGCCAACCGTTTGAGTTCTGTAGCCCACACAAGTGTGTGGCACCTGCTCAGTATGAGCCCTCTTGGGTGTAGGACGTGGCTCGCCTGTTGTGGCGCTCTCCACTACCGTGGTGCTAAACTCGTCGTCAGCTCCTTTCTCCCATGCCGGATAGTCTCATTCTCATTCCTGGGGTTCACAGGTTAGCATATTACAATTCCTCATATAGTTCCAACAAAGCAAGGTTTCACCTTAACCCTCCTCTCCTTTCCCTCCCCTCTCCTCCTCTCCACTCCTCTCCTCTTTAAAGAAAGATTGCAGGGGAGTACTCCAGATTAAGCCCCCCCCCCCGGGCAGTTATAGTCAGGATGAAACCTTGGATGTCATCTCGCCTCACTGAAGGAGGAAGACACAGACTGCGTCCCAAATGGTAATCTATTCCCTTCATAGAGCAGTACTTTAGACCAGAGGCCCATAGTGCACTAAATAGGGAAGAGTGTTCCATTTGGGATGCAGGCCTTGGTTTTTCTCTCTGGGGAACAGCTCTTACATAAATGACTGATTCATACCCTCTCACCGTACTGTTTGGTTAAGGCTTTGTAAAAAAAAAAAAAAAAAAATGGGCCGTGTTTTTCTCAGTCATATTTTTCCCAGGAGTCATTCGGGGTCCTTCAGAAAATAACGAGATGAAAGCTTGATTAGATATGGCTTTTAGGGCAATGTGGGTACATTCACTTGGACTGAATATCAGATCCAAACCTAATGCTTTGGTCTTCTGTGTATTTCACTTATACTAATCATTTTATTGATTTGTTTTACATCATTTTTAATGTTTCTTACATTGTCTTACGTAAATCAATACATTTTTCTGATTGATTGTAATATTTTGTGTTCCGTTTGTATTTTTATATATTTTAATAAGACCATGTTCCTATTTCATATGAGGTCGTATAAGGTGGGAATAGAATCAAGGCAGTAATTGTGTGTTACCTTGAACCAAGGTGGAATCTGGAGTTTCATGCCCCAGGTCTGAAGTGAATATAAAAATTGTTGCTGCTTAATGTAGGTCTGTGTGTAGAAGCAGGCTAGTAGTGTATTTGTCGATTACAAGCTTGTTGAAGCCGATTCAATGAGACAAGGAATGAAATTGACTGGCTGACGGACCTGAGTGTAAGAGTGTCTGTGAGTGTGTGTAAGCGTGTGTGTGTGTGTGTGTGTAAGCGTGTTCTTGTGCTTGTGTGTCAGAGTGTGTGTGTGTGTGTGTGTGTGTTCGTAAGCATTTGCTTGTGTGTGTGTGTGTGTGTGTATGTGGGTGTGGGTGTATGTGTGTGTGTGTGTGTGTGTGGGGGGGGGGGGGTGTATGTGTGTGTGTGTGTGTGTGTGTGTGTGTGTGTGTGTGTGTGTGGAGGGGTGTGTGTGTGTGTTGGTAAGAGTGTGTGAAAATTGAGATCACAGCCTATGTTGCCGAAGGTTTTTTTTTTTTTTCCTCATTTTTATTTGCACCATTAATTGTTATGAAGGTGTTGGAAATCCAAGCTCCAGCTCCTTTCTCCCACGCTGGATAGGAAATCCAAACCAATTTCACAGCGTTTTTATCTATGATTCATTTGAAACTCCGGGGCTGTATTTGTGATCAGGCCATTTGTTTCTCATCTACCTCGTCCGACGCTTCACATTCCCTCATTGAAACAGAGGCCGTGTCCCAAATGGTACCCTATTCCCTTTATAAGTGCACTACTTTGACCCGGACCCATTGGGCTCTGTACAAAGGTAGTGCACTATGTAGGGAATAGGGTGCCATTTGGGACTTGGAACCCACCACAGCTCCGTCCCGCCCTCCCTGATATGCTTACACGCCGTTGCATGATTGAGTCACAGCTCAAAACTGTTGCCTGTATGATTCAGGTCAAGTGCACACGTCTGACTCACTCACCTCAAAGTGGATTCAGCAAAACCCATTTCTCCAGAGCAAGAATCCTATCTCTTGTCCTAAACCCTGTCCTAAATCCTAAACCCTAACCCTACCCGTACAGTCCTTCCCTGACACGTGTATGAATTGTTGCTCCAGGTCAGACCCTAACCTTACAGGTCAGATGGGCGTCTGACTCACTGAAATACAGGCAGGACACAGAGATCTGGCTCCGTAAACATTAACGCTGTTGAGTCACTGAACAAACAGAAATACAGGCAGAACACAGAGATCTGGCCCCGTAAACATTAACGCTGTTGAGTCACTGAACAAACAGAAATACAGGCAGAACACAGAGATCTGGCCCCGTAAACATTAACGCTGTTGAGTCACTGAACAAACAGAAATACAGGCAGGACACAGAGATCTGGCTCCGTAAACATTAACGCTGTTGAGTCACTGAACAAACAGAAATACAGGCAGGACACAGAGATCTGGCTCCGTAAACATTAACGCTGTTGAGTCACTGAACAAACAGAAATACAGGCAGAACACAGAGATCTGGCTCCGTAAACATTAACGCTGTTGAGTCACTGAACAAACAGAAATACAGGCAGGACACAGAGATCTGGCCCCGTAAACATTAACGCTGTTGAGTCACTGAACAAACAGAAATACAGGCAGAACACAGAGATCTGGCTCCGTAAACATTAACGCTGTTGAGTCACTGAACAAACAGAAATACAGGCAGAACACAGAGATCTGGCTCCGTAAACATTAACGCTGTTGAGTCACTGAACAAACAGAAATACAGGCAGAACACAGAGATCTGGCTCCATAAACATTAACACTGTTGAGTCACTGAACAAAGAACTGGCTCCAGAAACATAAAAGCCAATATCACTTCAGCCTGATTACCTAACCCTTGTAAGAGTTATCACAACCCATTATGAAATCCTTTAGGTCAGATGGAAGTTTGACTGACAGAAATAGTAATAGCATTTCTATAGTCTGACTCACCTCCCAGGATACGTCAAACTGGATGCAGCAAAACCTTTTTATATTTGGCCAAAGCTCAGAATATACATTATTGATATATAAAGGTCCAGATAATATTGATTACACCAGAGCCAATATCAACCTGATCGCCATGCCCGCACTGAGACAAGCTTATAAATCAGGTACTCTTTTATGACATATACTTAATCAATGGTTCAAAATTACATAAATAAAAGGGGTATTGTTGCTGGCTTTCTACCCAATAAAAAGTGGAGTATCATACAAGCAATGAGAAGTGTTTATAAATAACTAGTTCTCTCTATACACTATACACACAGACAATAAACATTCAATATGATATCCCTTTGATATGGTATCCCTTTGATATTATAGTGCTTTGATATTATATCCATTGGATATGCTAGCCCTTTGATATGCTAGCCCTTTGATAAGATAGCCCTTTGATATGATAGCCCTTTGATATGATAGCCCTTTGATATGATAGCCCTTTGATAAGATAGCCCTTTGATATGTAAGCCCTTTGATATGATATCAATTTGATATTATAACCATTGGATATGCTAGCCCGTTGATATGATAGCCTTTGATATGATAGCCCTTTGATATGATAGCCCTTTGATATGCTAGCCATTTGATATGCTAGCCCTTTGATAATATATCCCTTTGATATGCTAGCCCTTTGATATGCTAGCCCTTTGATATGATATCAATTTGATATGATATCAATTTGATATGATAGCCCTTTGATATGATAGCCCTTTGATATGATAGCCCTTTGATATGATAGCCCAAAAGAAAATAAAGTAAAGAAGATGTAGATGGGTGTATATGTACAGTGCATTCGGAAAGTATTCAGACCCCTTGACTTTTTCCACATTTTGTTACGTTGGATTTAGCAGACGCTTTTATCTAAAGCGACTTACAGTCAAGCGTGCATAATTTTTTTTTGTGTATGGGTGGTCCCGGGGATCGAACCCACTACCCTGGCGTTACAAGCGCCGTGCTCTACCAGCTGAGCTACAGAGGACCAACTCTAGAGTAAAATGTGTTACTACATCTACACACAATACCCCATATTGACAAAGCAAACGTAATTTTTTTAGAAATTTTAGAAAATATATAACAAATGAAATAAATAAAAAATCACATTTAGATAAGTATTCAGACCACTTACTCTGTACTTTGTTGAAGCACCTTTGGCAGAGATTACAGCCTCGAGTCTTCTTGGGTATGTCGCTACAAGCTTGGCACCCTTGTATTTGGGGAGTTTCTCCCATTCTTCTCTGCAGATCCTCTCAAGCTCTGTCAAGTTGGATGGGGAGTGTCGCTGCACAGTTATTTTCATGTCTCTCCAGAGGTGTTGGATCGGGATCAAGTCCGTGCTCTGGCTGGGCCACTCAAGGACATTCAGAGACTTGTCCCGAAGCCACTCCTGCGTTGTCTTGGCTGTGTGCTTAGGGTCGTTGTCCTGTTGGAAGGTGAACCTTCGCCCCAGTCTGAGGTCCTGAGCATTCTGGAGCAGGTTTTCA